CGGGATCCGCAAGCCCTGGGCCATTGCAGCATAGATACGGCGCAACATCAGGTCGATCTTACAACTCTTGTCTCGAGGAGTCGAATGCTCTCTGTTCTCCCGACCTTGAGCCAACTTGACGACTATGGAGTTCAGTTTCGGATGTTTTAGAAGGAAGGGAATGTCCTGTTCCCTAACCTTATACATAGACTCATAGCACTGAGAGATCGGGTACGGTTGGTTTGGGTACCAGCTGGAAACGAAGGAGGCCTGGAGAGCGCAGCCACCAATGTTGAAGGGGAATTTCTCCTCAATGGATGAGGACGCTGTTGGCACTCTGAGGGAATGGGATAATATCCATATGCTGGGGGGTAGTCTGAAGCATAGAATTGGGATGGGTCAAATCCACCACACGGCATCGGAACCCAATTTCTGGAAGGCTGGATGCACGCTGATGATGATGCGTGTCAGATTGAAGCTGAGTTCTTGGAGATGCCTTGGGTGAGGATGGCATTGGTGTAGGCAAATGTGCTGATGGATGGCCAGCCTGAGATCGGGGAGGAGAGTCCCAGATCTCGCCATCCGACATGGACCCACAAACCACAGCCTCAGAACGGTCCAGAGTTGACAGAGCCGATAAGGAGAACCTTTGGGGAGATCCCATCAGAGTGCCTTGCCTGATGGCTTGAGCAGTCGGACTGGAAGGAGTCAGAACCAAAGTGGCCATCGGGATCGATGGAGCAGTAGAACCCAAATCTCTATGCGGTTCCTGGGCAAGCTTACACTGCTTGCAGTCCGACTTACCGGCTTTAGCCTTTTTAGGCTTCTTCAGAGCTGAGGGTTCCTCAAACCCTGTATGCATCTTTTCCTTTTGTTTTTGAAAGGAAGAATGAGAGGGGCGGGCAGTCTCCTTGGAGACAGCACCCTCGGATGGTGGATGAGGGGAAGACACCATAGCAGGGCCTGCTGAGGAGGCCTGAGCAGCAAGCTCATCAGATGCCATCAAGGCCTGATCCCAAAGGATTTTTCACAGCCAAATCTGGCTGTTTTTTCAAGCTTGCTTAGTAAAGGACCGACAGTGGCCACATTTGTCAGTCCGGTGCTCTTCCCCTAAACAGAGGAGGCACAAATCATGAGGATCCGCTGGGGACATCTTGGCCCCACATTTGGAACACTTCCGAAATGCTGCTCGCTGAGCCATCGAGAAAGCAGAATGGAAAGTGAGCGAGAAATAAAAGAACTATAGAAGGGTTGATGATGATGATTTGTTGGAAGGGGGAAGGGGAAAAGGGGAAAGAATCCTTCCTAAATGGGGAAAGAAGGACTTAAAACTTGGGAAGGGATTTCTTAACAAGAGAAGAGCAACAAGAATCAACAAACAACAACAAGGTAATATGCAATAGAGTAAGTAATGAAAAGCTTGAGGCAAAGCAATTGACAGTTGTGGGGGAAGGGTGCGGAGTGCCCACCAAAATCTGTTAAAGCTTTGAATCTTTCCCAGCTGCAGGTACTGCGCAGGACCCATAATGTGTGATACACAGAGGCCACGACGAAGGAATGTATCTTCCACACTCAACCAAGGTGCCTTTCCTTCCTGTATACTGGGACAGAATATGTTCTGTGAGAGCAACCCTGAGACATCTCCACAAATGAACTGTGTGCTATTTAATTATTAGTTACTTATTTATATTATTAGTTGATTAACTTTTTAAATTATTAATAGTTAAGGAATGGAGGAATGAAGGAAAAAGATAGAAAAGTGAAGAAAAAAGGAAATGTGAGAAGAGGGAAATATCATGGCTTCTATTTTGATGCATTTGCAGTCACAAATTGCCTAATTTAGCTCAAAACACTACATTAAAAAGTTATTTACATATACAGGGTACTGTACACAATACAAAGGTTCATATGGATTTCTGGGAAAAGCTGCCCATGATAAAATGCATGTTCAAACACAGTGAGAGCTGTGCAATTTTTATTCCATTGGATAACAGGTAGTAGAGACTTATCCATCTATCTGAGTCCAAAACGCTTGGCAATTGTAAAGTCCCACAGAATACATTTACATTGACCTTCTGACAACACACACATATAGTTAAGAGTGCCTGAACATCTGCAACATTCAACAAGTTTTCTAACACAAAACTGATAATAAAGTAACATCTTGCATTATGGTCCCTCATGATGAATCAACTAATTCTTCCAATGACACTGCAGATTCTGAAGCCCTTAAAGCCAAAGGGCCATATATGGATGTTAATAGGTGTTTTAATTGGTACTATTGCCACTGAACAGTAGCAGGTAAATGCTATTGATGTTTTGATACTGCAAATGAGAGGTGCTACACCTGACTCCTGGGTATGACCCAGGATCAGGATTCAGCTGGCACAGGGTCTGAAGACCTTATGGAACAGACATGGCCATTTGATTTCAGCAATACCCTGGAAATTCCCAAGCAGTATAGGAGAGGCTGCACTAGGTTTTCTACAGAGCAGCAGGAGGATTGATCTGTGGTAGATGAAGGCAGTAGTCCAACCACTTGTGAAGGCAGTAGTCCAACCACTTTCCAGCCCCAGACAGTACTGACACAAAAAGATGCAATTATAGATGAGAACTTGATGACAAATTCCATACCTCAAGGACCAAAGATTCCCAGGTCATAAGGACCTCCTGAAGAGTAGAGAAACCTTGAGGGATAGACTAACCAGTTGCAGGTAGGCTAAGGGGAACAGGCTGCATCAGCCCTCAGTTGGAGCCTACTCCTTGCTGGAACAGCATAGGTCTTCAGCTCAGCCCTCTGCAAACCAGATTCTTGACCTTGCTTTCTACTCCAAAAGACCACCTTCTCATGTTTTTGATACCTGGAGGCTTGTATAGATATTATCACTGCCCTCAGACTGCTTCCACATGCTTGATCCCAGCTTCTTGACAAGATTCCTCCCTTCTCTTGGCCACCTTGCCACAAAGGATCTTAGACTCTTCTGGTCAGGGGCCAAGATGAGACTTGGCCTAAGCAAGGCAGTAATTCACCCTTGCAGCTTATTAACTATAAGTTATAGGTTCAGAATAGCTTTTTTCAGAGAAAGGTTGCCTAGCCATTTTAAAGTCTAAAATGCACCAAAGAGTTACCTTCAGGTATTGCATGAGTCAAAATGAACTTGATAAGCTACAATATGCCACATTTTTCTAGCTGTAGAACTTTAAGTGGAATACTCCTAACCTTGCTAGGGTGGGTGGAACTCAGTGCCATTTATTTCAAAGAGGTAAAAAATAAGCAAATTAAATACCCAAGTTAAATTAAACAAGGCATTAAATACTCAAAAAAGGGTTATCATTTGTTTGTATAAGAAAGGAGACATACATTATTATAAAATTAAATATGGAAATTAAAACATTCTCTTATGCTTGGGGCCTTAGGAGAATACTAGTAGAGAAAAAGGATGGTCTTGCTATGTACTGCTTTCCAAAGAAATGGGCTTGAAAGGATTCTATTGAACTTGTGACTGTAGGATTTTAACTCTTTTTGGAAATCTTGGGTCAACCTGAATTTTGAGAGGGTGGTCAAAATAGTGCCAATACACTTTCTTAAAGACTTTCTCTGCACCAAGGCTTGAATTATCAAGGCCTATCAAATCCACCAAATTCTACTTGTTCACTATGAATTGCAGTTGTTATTATTCCCTAGTCTATTGGCAAGTATTGCATCCTGACTAAATCCTGTCTGGTAATTTGGAGAAAAGAACAGAAATTGAAAAGTAGAACAGTTAAGGTCAGCACAATGGCACACCCTGGGGGCAAGGCAGACTAGATTTGTGGGGGGGGGGGGCGCTCCCACAAAGAAAAACTTGCACAACTGATATGTATAATCCTTTGTATAATCTTTTTCTGTTAGAGTGAGAGAGGCAATTTCTTCAAACTTATTCTCATTTTGTGTTTGTTTATCATTCCCTTGCCAAACCTCTCTGGGTGGTTTAGAAAGGCACGTAAGCAAAGATAAAAATAACAATATCACAATAAAACTTCAACAACAACCAATTAGAAGCAATAACAAAACAACTCCAAAACAACTAGTCAGATTGGTACACAGGTACAGCAGCATAAAATAAAACCCGATTAAAACTGCAATCTTTTAACTATTAATATGTCTGGAAAATAAAAAGGTTTTCACCTTGCTCTGAAAGGAAAAATGAGTAGGTGCCAGGCAAACCTCTCTGGGGAGCTTATTCCAAAGATGGGGTGACACAGCTGAGAAGTCCCTTCTTCTAATCATCACCCCTTATTTCCTGGGGGGGGGGGCACCTTGAGACAGACCCCAAAGGATGACCTTAAGGCCCAAGTAGGTACATATGGGAAAAGGCATTACTTCAGATAACCTGGTCCCAAGCTGTTTAGGGCTTTAAATATTAGTACAAACACTTTGAATTGGGCCTGGACTTCAAATAGCCGCCAGTGCAGCTGAAAGAGGACTGGCATGATGTGATCTTGTGGGCCAGTCTCTGTCAACAGCCACACTGCACTATTTTGAGTCAGCTGAAGTTTCTGGACCATGTTCAAAGGCAACCCCATGTAGAGCACATTATAGTAATCCAAGTGAGAAGCTCTGTCTGTCCAGATAGGATCAGAGCTAGTAAATCAACCTCAGCTGACAGAAGGTGCTCTGTGCTAACGAGTCCACTTGAGACTCTAGGGACAATTTTTGTTGCACCCTGTGGAGTTCTTTGCCTTTCTAGAGACATGATAACAAACAAAAGGCAAACTATACAAATTCATTCTATTTACCAAATTTCCAGAGATTATAGAATTTAATTTTTCTTAACACCAAAACTGAAAGTCCTTGGGGTCAGAATTTATTTTTGTCGTCAGGCACAGTACATTCTAGAACAGACAATTCACTCCAAATTTCATTTTTAAAAACAAATATGACAAGCTTGTGTTAAAAGTTGCCAGTATTCTTGTCCTTCACTTCCAACTGAAGTGAAGGACCATTAAACAGCTATTCCATGTGTTGGAAATATTAATACCTTCACACTTCTTTTCATCCGAGCTGTCCTGGCAATTTGGCTCTCCATTGCACTGAAGGACACTGTCAATGCACTGGCCACTCTCACACTGGAACTGGGTCTCTGAGCACACAGGGCAGTTCTTCTCATCGCTGGCATCTTCACATTCAGTGAACCCATCACAGCGCCAAGCTACAGGAATGCAGTCAATCTCTCCTGTGAAACACGTGAAGTGCTGCGGGGAGCATGTTGGTGGTTCTGTTACAAAAAAGGGTTTTTTTTTTCTCAGAAGGACGGAAAAGGAATAGGCAAAATCTCTATGGGAAGGCAGAAGTTACGTTTATGGAAAACAGACTAAAGTTTTGTTTGAACCAAACATGGATAGTCACTTAACTTCCACTTCTCCTCACCACAGTGACTGAACACTGGCTGAACATCAGCACATGTCCAATCTACACTATGGACCTAAACAGCAAAACAGACATATTATGTTATCCTAATGTGTCTTGTCTTAGGACTTGCAAGTTTTCAAGAGCAACATGCACTTCACAGTTTTTAAAATATCATACAATAAACAATTACAACACAGTGCCACTCATGGGCCTATTTATATGTTATTTTCTCTGCTAGAATTATCCCAAGAAGATGTTGAGAGACAGCTCATTATTTCCTCTCCTGCTGCCATTTCCAGCTTCTCCTGTTATATGTGATATAGTAAAGTGTGCACGTCAAACAGAGAGGGATTGATAATTCTACATGAAGTGGATAAGCCCATGCCTCACTACAGATCAGCTAGTTGAACATTCTCTTTCACTCTCGTTCTCCTCTTTTGCTGATGAGAAAGTCATTAATCAATTGCTGTTTGGACTCACACTGTACATTGGGCTAATCAGTTACATAAACCTAGGTATGAATTGAAAGCCATGATCCATTACTTCAGTGCCAGGTAGAAGGAAGGAGATGGAACAAATACAGGAGTGTTAAATTGGATTTGAATCTAAACAATACACTAAATGAAATAACAAGCAAAAGTATGTCATACCTCATGGATTTTCTTATTTCAGAAAATTATGCGTTTAAATAGCACTTTGGTGGGGATTATTGGTGCAAAAAAGCACATTTGGTTTCATCTACTGAATTGCATCACGTCTACTCATTTCATTAGACTGTCCAAAGTGCAAAGAGGACCATCTTCTATTACTTCCTATAAACATTGTTAATTTTATTCTTCTAGAAAAAACACTGAGACCCAAACAACATACTACTTTTCTTGCACTGTTCTGATTTTGAATGAAGAGAAATTACCATTTTCAGGAGCCCACTCCAAACTGGGACCCCAAAATAGGGTAGGGGGCTTTAATAAATGCATCCTTTTTGAGCAATATAAACTGCAGGCTTAGGCTCCCCAGTCCAGTTCAGAACTACATGGAGAGGTGGATTAAAGCTTTCCTGGCTCCCATTCTGGGATTCAGTTCAAATTGCCCTCATTTCTTGGTGCTAGGAGTATGTAAAATATTCAGTAGAGACCCTGCAACTGAACCAGAATTAAATAGAGGTAACATATAATTTAATTTTGTAAGGATACCTTCCATGAATAGGTTTATAGTGCCTATCTTAATGAAGAACATAAATACTAAACTACTATTTATTCTTTTTTATTACGATGTTACTTTCTACTGTAAATAGCCACCTTGAACTCTCTCTCTCTCTCTCTCTCTCTCTCTCTCTCTCTCTCTCTCA